AGGAAGGAAGGAAGGAAGGAAGGAAGGAAGGAAGGAAGGAAGGAAGGAAGGAAGGAAGGAAGGAAGGAAGGGCTGTGGCGACCCAGTGGTTAGCATGCAGTATTGCAGGCTACTTCTGCTGACTGCCAGAAGTTCGATCCTCACCAGCTCAAGGTTGACTCATCCTTCCGTCCTTCCAAGGTGGGTAAAATGAGGACCCAGATTGTTGGGGGCAACAGGCTGACTTTGTAAACCACTTAGAGAGGTCTGTAAAAGCACCATAAAGCGGTATATAAGTCTAAGTGCTATACTAAGAGGCCTCAAATTCCAGTTGAGTTGGAAGGCCAAGGTAGCCGTTGTACCAATTGCCCAAGGCAGCTAGTTGTCAGCCAGGTGAATTAGATAAGGCTATCTGGATAATTGTCTGGCCCAAGCATCCGGCCTCTTCCAGTCCGTTTGCAGGTCAGTATTAATAAGTCTTTCCATCTCACTCCCTTCAAGAGCAATCTTGCTGCCACTGTTACAACTCCTGAGGTTCACTCAAGTAGGCAGCAATATATTGCAATCACTTCAGCGCCCTGCTAAAAGGAGTTACATTTTCCAGCGGGTGAAAATGGGGTTTTCAACCATCTGCCTCTTGGGTTTTCTGAACATTTTGTTGAGGCTATCAAGTTGTCAGGAACCTGTCAACCAAGATGGACAAATTGGCAGATGATGGCGGGCTCCCCTTTGTCTCATATTCCAATTGAATGTTGCGGTTTGCATACAAATGGAGTTGCGAAGTGAAAACTTTCTGGCGTGTTCGGTCCATGATCTCCCCACCTTCTGAAAGATTCATCTCCATCCTTCTTCAACAGTCCCCAGCGTGGAGAGAGTCAGCTCTGCAAATTCATCGATGACGTGCTTTTTAAAAAAAATATTATGCAGTACCGTCTCTTGGAGGGATGCAGTGGCTCAGTGGCCAAGATGCTGAGCTTGTCAATCAGAAAGGTGGGTAGTTTGGCGGTTCGAATCCCACATAAGAGAGTGAGCTCCCATGACTTGTCCCAGCTTCCGCCAACCGAGCAGTTCGAAAGCACGTAAAAAATGCAAGTAGAAAAATAGGAACCAACTTTGATGGGAAGGTAACAGCGTTGCGTGCGCCTTCGCCGTTGAGTCATGCCGGCCACATGACCACGGAGACGTCTTCGGACAGCGCTGGCTCTTTGGCTTTGAAACAGAGATGAGCACCGCCCCCTAGATTCGGGAATGACTAGCACATATGTGCAAGGAGAACCTTTACCGTTACCTAGTACATTCTCTTTTGCACTGTTGTGAGGAGAGGTGGAGCAATTAAATCAATGACTATAGAGATTCTCAGCCGTCCAGATCATGGTTGTCCCAAAAGTTGGGCCTTTTTCAAGAAGAAACTGGACTTCCTTTGTTTCTCCTTAAAGAGGTTTCACTCCTCATCCAAAAAGAACTGCTGGCTGTGGGCAGTGTTAGCCTGCAATACTGGATTCTTCACCACCAGGAAGGAAGGAAGGAAGGAAGGAAGGAAGGAAGGAAGGAAGGAAGGAAGCATTTAGACATATAGGCCACTTCACAGTGTTTACAGCCCTCTCTAAGCGGTTTACAGAGTTGGCCTCTTGCCCCCAACAATCTGGGTCCTCATTTTAGCCACCTCGGAAGGNAAAAACGCATATAACCCGCGGGTTATATGGGTGAAAATACGGTAATGGTAGCAATGACAACTACAAGCTGATGCTTTTCGAATCAGGTTGCCAGAAGATACTTAATATCCCACAAACATCTGTTTCAAATATAGTCCTCTCGCTAGCACTTTGAAATGGCTGATATCTGAGAAATATAACCTGATCGCCTGAAAGGGTCCTTTGGGGCCATTTGCTATGCTAGTATAAGGTTGATAAAAAGAATGTTTTACTGTAATAATAAGATTGTTTTTACCAAACCTGCTCTTGTATAAATGCATCTGTGGATAAGTCGATCCTCAGTTTTTTAATCAAAATGTATCACAAATGTGCCACCAAGATGTCCTGCATTTTTCATAGCACTTTTGTTAAGGGATCTGTTATCCACATGCATCTATGGAAAATACAGGTACTTATAAAATGTGTTACCATATATACTTGTAGATAAACCCAACCAGATGTTTTGGGTGCATTTTGGCATTAAAAATTCTAAATTTATTGACAATATATACGGCAAATGATTTTATTCAATAGCTAGCACCATATTTATTGTACACTGTTGCTACATAAAAAGTTCATTCATAGAGTCTTCTTCTAGACCAATTAAATTTGTGCATCCAAGTGTGACAAGCAGTGGCTATAATACCTCCTTCTAAAACAAGGAAGTTCTTCTTACCTAGCAGAAGCAACCAAATTTACATGAATTATCACCTTTATTGGAAATATATTTAGTTAATTTTTTTCTATATTGAATTCCTGAACACCCTTTTTCCTGATTTCACTAAATAATACTTTTAAAAAGCACTTACTTTTCATGGTCCCCTCATCTTCCTCATCTTCCGCATTTATGACCATTGTTCCTAATTGTGATGCTAAAGTGTCATTGTATTCTATCATGGTATTGGCACCTTCACTCATTCCACAAGCAGCTCTGATTGTACCCATTTCTTGTCCCCTTGCTCGAACCATGGTCCTAGAATCAATTTCATCTTCTTCCTGCATTGAATGAGAAGAAAAACTTTTCATGTAAGTAAAATAATCCAGTTGTCTAGAATCATTCAAGGCATCATGGTTCTTCAATTACCATTAAAACAGAAGTGAAGCAAGAATAGAATTCTTTATTGGACACACAAGGAATTTGCCTTTGGTAGATAGCTCTCTGTGTACATAAGGGAATAAAATACATTAATCAAGAACAAAAAGTTTCAACACTTAGTGATAGTCAAGGTTACTAATAAGCTATCAAATCATAATAGGAAAAAATAACAATATAATTAGAAAGATACAAGCAACATGCTTATAGTCACAAGTGTGGAGAGATAGACACTAGGAAGAAAGATAAGAATAGTAATACATTCTTAGTAAAATATTGACAGTGTTGTGGGAATTGGTTGTTAAGCATAGTGATAGCATTTGAGAAAAAACTGTCTTTGTGTCTAATTGTTCTGGTGTGATATAGCATCATTTTGAGGGTAGAAGTTGAAACAATTTATGTCCAGGATGTGAGGGGTCTGTAGATATTTTCACAGCCCTCTTTTTGACTCGTGCAGTATAAAGGTCCTCGATGGAAGGCAGGTGGGTAGCAATTGTTTTTTCTGCAGTTCTAATTATCCGTTGAAGTCTATGTCTTGTTGGGTTGCAGAGCCAAACCAGACAGTTATGGAGGTGCAGATGACAGACTCAATGATTCCTCTATAGACTGAATCAGCAGCTCCTTGGGCAGTTGGAGCTTTCTGAGTTGGCGCAGAAATTTGTTGCTTGTCATCTTTCATAAGAAGGTTCCCCAAGAGTTCCCCAAT